AAACTGCAATAAAATGAGAAGTGTTGCATAAGAAAACTTTTGTTCAGTGTGTCTTTTAAATAGTGGAAAATCTGGTGGACAGCTTGGAGATGGTGCTCATAGAGATCATGCATGAATTAACTTATTATCCCAACTGCGTGACATATGTCGGGGCGAGTATAGGAAAGGTACATAAGTTTCCCCACAATGCGTGAGTCTTATTTAAAAGAATCGCATTGAGAATATCAAGAAGTTTTTCATTGAATCCATCGGAATAGCCACTGGTTTGCACACGAGAAGGTTTCAATTACATATTTTCATTGAGACAGGCAAATGCCCCAAGATGATCGAACAACTTCCATGCTTAAGAAGTATCAGAGATATCTCAAGTCCATTTCAAAAGAAGCAGCAAAATGTCTTTCAGAGATTCCAATGTTGGTAGGTCATTACATGTGAGTACAATATCGTCGACAAAGACGCTAAGGATAGCTACCTGGTTACTAGAGGAATGTCGGAAGAAGACAGTGTGATCCGATTGAACCTGAGTGAACCCATGGCATACCACCACCTTTGTGAACTTGTCGAACAATGCCCATGGTGATTGCTTCAGTCCATAGATGGACTTTTGCAGCCTACATACTTGCCCCTGGGAGGTAGTAGAGTTAAAGCTTGGAGGAAAGGTCATGCATACCTTCTCTGCAAGATCGTCATTCAGAAATGCATTCTTGACATCAAGCTAGAATAAGGGTTAATCCAGATTCACCGTAAAGGATTATAGGACCCGAATGGTGTTTCACTTAGTAGTTGGAGCAGATGTCTCCTCATAGCCAACTCCGTAGGTCTGCGAGTACCTTTTGGCGACCAATCATACCTTATTACATTCAAAGGATCCATCTGAGTTAAACTTGATGCTAAAAATCCATCGGCAACCCACTACTTTCTTGCCACGAGAAAGATCAATGATGTACAAAGTATGTTTCCGCTAAAAGGCATTCATCTCCTCCATGACGGCAGCTTCCTAGGTTGGGTCTGCTAAGGCAGCCTCAATAGTAGATTGGAGCAATGATTGGTCAGGGCAGTAGTAAGTGCTTTGTAGGTCGGTGATTAATTGCGAAAAGAAGCATAGTTTGTCATAGGATAGAGAGAGCATGTTTGATTGTGTATCTTACTAAAGAAACTGACTTCCTCATTCAAAGTAGAAGTAGTGTTGGGAATGTCGCTCGGAGGGGAATCAGGACCCGGCAAGGGGGTAGCAAGCTCCAGAATAGGCAGATCATAACAAGTGCACCGAGTGTAGACACGAAGAGTAGGAGGATGAGATAGTGGAACCAAAGGGACAAAGGGCTCCTTAGTGGTAGGAGAAGTGGGTGGAACTAAAGGAACAGGGGGCTCCTCTGATGTGGGGGGAACATCCAAGGGAGTAGGATAAGGAACAGTGTCCAAAAACTCTAGCTCCCCTCACTGGAGGCCGAGTTAGGAAAGTAGGGAACATTTTAAAAAAATTAAACATCAGCACTTAAATAGACTTTATTTGTGATAGGATCAAAACATCGATATCCTTTTTGAGTGACAGAGTATCCTAAAAACACATTTTATGGACCTAGGATTAGGTTTACTTCGAGTTGGGGTCATATTCTAAACGAGGGCCGTGCACCCACAAATTTTTGGATCTAAGGTGGAGAAGACCCGATTGGTAGGAAAACATGATCTCAAAACGGCTAAAAGGGTTCGGAAGTTCTGGATTTTTTAGGGAACTCTATTGATGAGATAGGCGACAATAAGTATGACATCATTCCATAAATATTTTGAGACATTAGATTAAAATATAATAGAACGAGCAATGTTGAGGAGATGTCGGTTGTTTCTCTCGGCTACCTCATTCTGTTGAGGAGTGTCTTTACACGAGTTATGATGGAGGATGTCCTTATCAAGAATTCTCCTAATAGAGAGTTAAGAAATTCAGAACCATTGTCGGTCCGAAGGACTTGAATAGAAGTTTTGAATTAGGTCAAAATGATGTGGAAATTTTTTAAGGTGAATGCAGCTTCAAATTTGTCTTTTAAAATATAGACCCCGTCATCTGAGTATGACAATTAATTAAAGTAAAAAACGACTGTTTATTGGTGTAGCTGGGAGTGTGAAAGGGTCCACATAAATCACTGTGAATAATTGAAAAAAGAGCAGAAGGCGTGTAAGTATAGGGTAGATAAGGAACACAATGATGTTTAGCTAACTGACAGTTTTCACATTTGAAATTAAAAAAAAAATTTATTAGTAAACTTCAACGAATACAATTATTTTAAATACTGGAACATATGATGACCGAAACGACAATGTAACATAATAGAGCATTCAATGGACTGAGATAAATAGCAACTATTGGGTGGAGTGTCCTCATTCTCTATGCTTTTCTCTTGAAAGAAGTAAAGTTCATCTTTCCGCTTAGTAATTCCAATCATCCTCCCCGAACGACGTTCCTAAAAGACACAAACATCGGGGAAAATTGAGTAACGCAATTAATGTCATATACCAACTTACCGACAGACAAAAGGATACACTTCAGCAAAGGAACATGTAACACAGATTCAAGAGCTAGATTTGTTGTACGGACACTTTACTAGCAATGAAACTATGGAAATCATCAGTAATTTTAATAGTATCTTTCCCAGAACATAGATAGTATGTCGAGAAGGTTTGAGAGCTTCCAGTCATGTGATCCGTGGCACCTGAATCAATGATCCATGAACTGAAAGGGGCAAAAGAAGTGTGGCATAGGATTGATATCTTGACGAATGTGGGAAGTTGACTGGCCGAAAGAGAGTGGACTCGATTTAAGTAGTTTGATTAAGTGATCCATTTGACTCTTAAGAGAGCTGAATCGTTCTGGAATGTTTTGGGTATGGGTCGACTGTACCGTATTGGATTTAAATGTTGTAGTGAGACCCTTAAAAAATGAGGATTTGGCCGAAATTTTCGATGTAGGTTTCTCATGGAGGTTCCAACACTTATCACAAGTGTGGTTGGGTTTGTGACAGCAATAATAAGTGGGGTGACCAGTTCGGGGTTGAGCATTGTTAGAGACCAAAGCAAATGATTCCATAGACGGAGTGAAAGCACCAAGCATGACAAGTCTTCGGCTCTCTTTGCGACAAATCTCAATGAAAGCAACGCAAGCAGAAGGAAGAGGATCTCGGCCAAGGATACAGCCTCGGACTTCCTCAACATCTTTGTTGAGACTGCCAGAAATTTGAACGTAAACATTTTCTAAATTTTTTTAAAGAGATTGGTCGGACGGAGATTCCCGAGTGTAGTCATAGCATAAGTCGCATTTAATCTATAATGCAACCAGGTCATTATAGTACTGGGTCATGATCCTTGATCACTGTTTTGCCTCTCAGATTTTCTTAAACACCTCATAGAGTTAGTCGAAATTCCCTACATTAGAATAGGTATCACAAACTATCGTCCAAAGGGCTATATATATGATCAGTCAATCAAAGTCTCCATGGAGTGGATCAGCCACGACATGACCATGGAATTCTCTACTTCCCAAACACCATACGTCGGGTCAGTCTTTGGAGGTTCACGAATCAAAACAGTGAGATGACCAAATTTCTCACGCCCTTTGATGAACAACGACGCAGCTTGGGATGATTGAAAAAAGTTATTGTTGTTTAGTTTATGGGTTGTCAACAAGAAGTTCATGTTGTTTTCTTGTCCTCCGTTCTTCGAAGGAACGGGAATTGATCCTTCGATGGATGCAAGAAAACCTTCTGATGATGGCTCGGTGCTAGAGGAGTCCGCCATGAGATGTTGCGTTGTTGAGACATCGGAAGATTCCGGCTGCCAGAGAGAAGAGGTATGGCCTCGAGAAAAGGTTCCAGCTGGACTAAATCCTCTGGTCGACTAGAAGAAGACCCTGGCAATCCGAATAGAGGTTTCTGTAAGAGCTCCGACAAACATGGAAGGAAGCTGTTAAGCAGAGGTTCCGGCTGCTAGGGTTTGGGACGTGGCCCTGGCGGTCATAGCAAAGGTTATGGAGAGGCATCCGGCCAGCTAGAGTGTAACCAGGTGCCTGAAAGAGGACCTAACTGGCTCGGGAGGGCTTAGAAGAAGACCTAGCTAGCTCGTGAGGGAGAAATGATACCCGGACTACCAGTCGGCGGCAACTAGGTTGGGACCATAGCTCTGATACCATGTTAGAATAAAACTAAGCTAATTCTTATTGATACAATGAGTGATATATATACACATTATAGAATCTACTAATGAGGAAAGAAATAAAAAAATATACACTAGAAAATAGAAATGAATAATAAAGAATCAAAGCTAATAAACCAGAATAAACTGAAATTAACAAAGGCTATTACTAGCCATTAATATATATTCTAATATTATGCATGCTTCCAAGTAATTGAGAATGTTGATGAATTATGAATTGACTTGGATTGATAATGTTTGTGAAGATTAAATTAGATTAATTTATTACCTATCGAGTCCTGATTTGTGCAATCCAAAACTAGTGTGTTGGAAATTGCGTCTGAGTGAGTCGTCTACCTCAGACGCACCACAGTCGATCCTAAAAGAAGTTCAGCTAGGGTGTGACATAGAAAGACCAAAAAACGAGCTTATCCATTCACAAAACTAGCATGAAAGAATTATTAATATCCAATTTAATAAATTTAGAAGCTTTACTAATACATGTTTATCCCCTTGTAAATGACATGTAATGAAACTCCTCCAAAATGTAATAGAAACTATACATTTGGCTTCAAATACAAGCTACACGGAGATGAGCATGAGCTCATTTTCCTACATTTACGAGAGCTGATGTTAAGTAGATTTTGTAGAAAATTAAAACATTAAGAACAAAAATCACACCTCCAAACCTACCAACCAAACACCACATATAAGAGTTTATTGTCAATTATCTTCTATAATACGAAGAGTAGCAAAATAATAATAATAATACATAAATGACATCTAAATTGAATGGATATAAATAGAATAACTAGAAGTACCTGGGAGGCATTGCAATTTTCACCTGCGCTAGCCATTGCCACAGTGCCCATTTTTGAATGCTTTAAATCGGGATGAATTTCATCATCGAAAAAGCGAGCTTGTTCACCATAAAGAAATCTGCATATCACACGAAGTCAAGTTGATGTAGGGAACAGTCTCGGGTATATGATGGCACAAAAATTTCACGAGTTTTTTAAATTTTCTTCAAGATGACAGCGCATACTTATTTTATTTGTCATCTTCAGGGGAAATAGTTGCATACGGAATACGCACGCAAAGCTACGTGCATAATAACCTCCGCTTCGCGATTATTAGGGGGTTATTGAGAGGTCATTAAAGTATTGATTTCAATAGCATATAACCCCAATAATCTTTCAATAACCTTTGCGGGTTCTATTTCGATGTTATTCATAAGTTATTATGAGGGTATTGCGGGTGGAGTACGTACACAGAGCTGCGTGTGTACTCCGTATGCAAATATTTCCCCATCTTCAGGGTACCATATATTTTAAGGGAAAAATCATCCAATCTGTCGGGGTTTTCGTCTTACTTAGACTGTAATGGAATTTAGACATTAAAAGCAAAGGAGAAAAAGAATAAAGCCAATTCAAATAGCAGAAAAGGTAACGCAAGTGCCAAATTGATGAAAACAAAATCATGTAATGATTAACAAGTCATAAATATGAAAATATTAATTCTTATTGGTTTATAAAAAAATGCAAGTAGAGACTAAGTTCCTTTAGTCTCTGGTTAAGTTCAGTAGCAAAGCAGTATTCTGTAGAAGTAACTTGCATAAATGGCTGGAAAAGTATAGCAATACTAACTTGTACACAGAGTCACCTCCCTTGCCCGTTCCAGTACGGTCTCCAGTTTGGGCCATGAAGCCCTTCTCAACTGTGTGGAACAGACAACCATTATAGTATTTCATCCTGCAACCATGAAAGAACAAAATAAAATCCACTATGCTTGAAGCCTTACTGTTGCGACCAAGGAGATTTAACGTTCTAATATGTGATGTAGCATTATTAAGAAATTTCATATATTTCAAGATAATTAATCAAATTTAAAATTCAGAGCTCCACAAAAACAGCCTCACCCTACAGTGACAATTAGAACAGAAAACAAAAGCAAGGGGAATCAAAAAAAGATTCCAAAATCAAAACAGGTTAATTATATCATATTGTTGTTTGTTGCGTGATTGAACAAAATCATGTTAGGTGTATCAAGGTGAGAAAATTGAAAATAAATAAACAAACCTAATATATGGATAGTTACCTAGGGGCATTGCTACGTAGCTGCATAATTCCTAGAGCATTTCAATACTGCACATGCCTTCTAGTTTTACCGCAAGTTAATTATCAACATAATATGGTCATTCCTTCAAACACGGAAAGTGCAAAAGTAGCACAATATGTACTTCGTGTTAAGCTAAAATTAGCTCTATCAGCTGTGATTGAACGCATCACTTGCATCTGATGATGCATTGCATGGAAGGAAAGGATTGAAGGGCCTTCCGAATAACTCATTTACCAATACAGCAGCAATTCTAACATAATATACTAGTAAACAAATCACATAACAGTGTCACAGCCTGTATACAAGTATGTGCCATATATCCGAGCAAAAAACTAACTGTATATCAAAATAGAAACTTTCAAGGAGGAATAAATTTGAAGTTTGCTAAGAACAAATGTGAAATCTGCAAGGCTTGAAGTATTTACATTTAGCTTTCAACGTAAAACATGGTTAATAATTCAATGGGGACTCCATTTCTGATCATCAGAATCATAAGATTATAAATATGAAGTAAACAAAATAAGATCACTTTACAATTATTTAAATTGAATGCGACAAATAAAATTATTAAAGATGGATGTATGATAAATAATGAAGAATAAATTGAAGATAATTTTATGAGACAAATGATAGTAGTAAAATCTATTCAAAATAAGATAGCGGAGAATATCCGTGCGGTGTTAGCTTATAAAGAGAAGATATATCAACAAGATAGATAAAATCAATATGAGAGGATTTGAATGGAAAAAGAGTTAAACAAATAAAATATGGTTCAAAATTATGAAAAAAATATATGCACAAAGTAGGGTTAACTCCTCATGAAGTACTACTTAATACAAGCAATGAGAGAAGTTGTTGATAAAACTGATGATGACAGTCCACCAAACCTCTAAATTACTAAGTTTTAGATCCATCTTTCATGGCTTAACCAAGCATCAAAATAGCATTATCATTTCTACGATGCTCAACTTAAGTTTTAGTCAGTTCTTTACTGTATAATTCCTCAGCTTATCCAACTTATTAACAATTTTATAAGACTTACAGCCCAATTTCACTTACTGTCTTAGCACATAATAGTCGTAAGATACTTAATTCACTTTTCAACCTAAAATTAGCTCTAGAAGACAAATTTTATATTTTAATTGATACCCCTATTCTTCCATATAGAAGATCCAAGTTGCTTGAACATGCCCAATTTAGGTATTGATTGATATTTTCTGTTGAGATCTCTACAAATAAATTACACGTCATATAATTCATCTTTATGTATGTTAATCTGTTACACAAGTGCCTAGCCTAAGGGCAATTTTGTCTTTTGAATGCCTAAGGGAATTTATTGAACTTAGTCTTGTGTCATTTATTATTGTTTAGTATAAATAGGGCTAAAATATTTAGGGTTAGGGTTATGTATGTGATTGGATCAGTCTTAGATTTAAGATTTGGGAGATATTTCCTCCCTGTCAAATTGTAAGTTGTGAGAGATCGTCCACCTCTCAATTTGTAGGTGTTTATCTTTATGTATTTGGATTGTATTGTTTGGTGTTTATGAAATAAATTATATATTGCCCAAATTTATGTGGGAAAGCTATGTTGGATCCTATCAAATGGTATCAGAGCAGTCGGTTTGAGTGAGCAAAGAGGAAGGATCCGGTTTGCCCTAGTTGCCATTCGAGAGCAAGAGTTTCCACAAGAGCCATCGTAAGAAGGATCACAGAGTACAGAGCGACACGATCTAATTCTTCATCGGGATACAGTCACGATTTGGAGCTAGTGAGATGCCAATGTCAGGATCACTAGCGGAAGCCAATCATGAGATTACTGCGTATAGGGAACACAGCTTACACGACGTCCTCGTCACACCTAATTTATCATATACAGTCACGATAGTCGCACGCACGAGATTGCGGCATCAGTCGCAATTTGAGCTAGTTAGGGGAGGATCACGACATACAGATAATGCCACAGTCACGGGAGAAGACAAAACGTGGGATCTTGTCGTGATGTACAGAAGTAATGCGATGCACTTGATTGAAATAAGCAGTCGGGATCGCGGCGTAAAGGAGTTCCATGTAGCTTGTGACGGAAACTTGTGATTGCGACATAAATTAGTGATCGAGATTTGCAACATACAAGAATTCAAATTGTAGCTTCCGGAGTTTGATGCGGCTTTTAATAGTTCCACCAAACCGCATACAGAAATATTAGGATCATGTCGTCTAGAGTTCCGCACACGTTGAAACCACGTTCAGAAATTCCAAATCTCGCGATCTTAGGGCAAAAGAGTTTCAATACTGTCCAAGAGTAATGGCGGCAAAAAGGGTGAATGCTTTATAGGAAAAACTAGTGGAAGAGGTCAGTCAAATCACATTTGGAATAGAGGAGCATCTATCGGCCATGGAGAGGAAGTTGGAGGGGAGGTTCACAGCCCTAGAAAAAATGATTTAAAAGATTGCAGAGTCCCACACAAACCCACTAACCTTTGCAGCGGGATAGAACAACGAAGTCTGGAACAAACGCAAGCGGCAGCAATCAGAAGAATTTGTGCAATATCTAGGCAGCATCATTGTTTTAGGTAGATTTGGAGCTATGAGATCAGGTAAGGAATGGGAAGCGGACTTGAGTATCAGCACTTGGAAGGAATGGCATGGCAAATAGAAATCAATATGGGTCGAGGAAGAGACCCAACACTCACTTTATGAACTTTAGTCAAGGAAATTAGGAATGAGACTCAGGAATGAAGAAGCTGAAGATGTTGATTTTTGAAGGAAATGATGCTTATGATTGGCTTCATTGTGTGAAGAAATACTTTGTTGTTAATGGGCTGCCAGAAGAAGAAAAAATGATGATGGGGACTCTGTGTTTGGAAGGAAATGCCCTAGTATAGTATCAATGGAGAGAACAAAGCCAGCCAACCCAAACATTGAAACAGTTCATGTTTCAATTGTTTGAGCACTTCGGAATCACACGGGAAGGAGATTTAAATAAGCAGTTTTGTTCATGTTTCAATTGTTTGAGCACTTCAGAATCACACGGGAAGGAGATTTAAATAAGCAGTTTTTACATTGGTCCAGTAAGGATCCGACAATTAAATTAAATGGTAAATTTGATTTAGGATTAATTGGAATCAATTTTAAAAAGTTTAGGACTAAAATGGAGCGCTTGTAAGCTCCAAGACAAAATTGGGCACTAATTGAGAGTTGGGGGACTATTATGAACTTTTGCTCATCAAAAAAATATGTATTTTTGTAATTATTAAATTTGCAAGCATTTCAAAAGTACTGGAACATATCCCAGCTTTTGATTAAAAATATAACCATATTGACTCAAGCTTTCTTCTATGCTTATGTTTAATTATTGAAAATATGATTAAAAATCCAAGTTCTCCAAGGAAACAAGAAAGACCTCTAAAATTTTCAAAAAAAAAAAAAACAAGCATCAACAAAACGTTAAACAAAATGCAAAACAAAAAAGTCCTACAAACAACCATCACAACTAATTTGTTTTGACATTATATTCAGCTTATTGGAATGAACAACTAAAAAACCTTATATGCCATATTAATGAATTGTCGTATTAATGTGAAAGGAAAACGAATAATAAAATTGGCTTTACTAGGTTGGCTAATAGGTAAAATTAGAGCTGAAAAATCAACAGAAATAATAGAAAAAAAATCTATTTTTTCTCTTTTAACTATAAGAATAATTGCCCCATATCATCCCCTCCGATACAGTTGAGCAAAATAATAGAATCGACCTCTCATACGTGAGCTTCTCCTTATTAAGATTTAATTCATACTTATTTCATGAACAAATTCCATCGCAAAGAAAGAAATAAAAGGAGGACTGCCTTGGCATAGTTTCACAGGAAAATACTACCATCAGGTTAATACTATGAAGTATTGTCTTCTTATAAAAAGCATTTGTTTTTGTTTTCAAGGGCTGAGCTTCTCGAAACAAGCACCATGACTTGAGTTCAACAAGCAGGTGACCTTCAATTAAAAACTGACAATCATGCTAATAGAAAACCAAATAAAAATGGAGTCATATTAGCATAAAAGCATTACCTGAAACATTATAACAAGCTTTTGTATTTCTACATTTCCACATTTTACCAAATGTCAACAAACAATGTCGCTAGAGCCATTGCTCGTTACCAAAGGTCAACAAATAATATGCTGAACCATTCCTTTAAGGTATATTTAACTTTCCCCTGCTTAAGTTTTAAAAAATTAGTTTTAGTTTATATGAAACAATATACTTAAAAAATAATCATTTTGCATGTGCACCTCTTTGTAACTTCATGAGCATATAAATTAGTTTATGGAATAGCATGTTTGTTATGTGAGAGTATGATGATTGTAATTTCATTCAACGCAACAGAAGCTAGGCATCAGCATAATTGTACCTATCAAAGCACTAATCTTCATTCACCCAAGAACATGTTTTAAGAAGCATATCCAAAGACCTTGGTTTCAAATCAAGATTGGTTCTAAACTTCAGCAGATCTCATCATAAAGTGTCAACAAAAACTGTCCGCCAATTCTCTCTTTGTTAAACAGACTCAACAAAATGCACTCCTTTGTTGCCACTATGATAAGTTAGTGGACAAGGGATGTGAGTCGGCTTTCAAGTTTCTGCTGGTCTCAGGAACGGTATATCATGGGCTGTGAACCTTTTCTTTCTTACTCAATTTATGTGAGTGCTAATGGGATATGTTTGGCAGCAATTTGGCAATGTAATTACTAGGTTTTGTGTTATTCTTGAAGATTTCTATCGTTCCACAAAACCCTTAGGGATTTAAAATATTATGGTGGACTATGGCTTCATGAGAAGAAAGCTTGGTGTTAAGACTTAAGTAATCTTTTGGTGTGATTGGGTTTCTTCTATTTCCTTAAGTGTGTTGCTTCAATAATACTTAGAAATTAGAAAGGTTTGGGCGATCTCCTGATTTGCCCACCACGATTATGGTTTTTTGTAATTTTCTAGTGGATTGGATCATTCAGCTCTCCATTGAACATTAGCTTGATGGAAGTCAAACTATATAAATCTTTAAGAGACTTTTTGGTGATTTTTTTCTCCTCTTTTGTGATATTTTATAGTACATAGTTTACAGAACATTGTTCTCAATGTTAATGATCTTTACTCTTCAAGTTATTGGCACTCGATACAGCAAACAAGTGTCAAAGTGCAACTCTGAATAGGATAACAAATACAAGCATAATTGATACAGATTTTAGTAATGTTCTTTCATTAATGGCTTCAATCCACATGTTTAGTTTTCAATGGGTACTTGACTCAACATACTTTATCCATGTGTGATAGATCATTATGTTCTACTTATAAACCATGTAATGGAAAGTGTATATAGGAAACAATGGTGTGCATAGAATTGATGGGCTTAGCACTGTTATTGTTAAGATACGTGATGTTGTAAGACTTTAACTGGGTGACACATATAGCTAAGAGTGAATTTTGTATACATGGGTGTAGTGAGTGTTGGAGAGAGTTTATCAAAGGGGGACATAGTTGAGTCAAAAACACCAATGGTGAAACCCATTTTCAACTCAAAATCTTAAGATTATAAACAAAAGCTAATCACTTAGCATTTCTACAACGTGCTTGCCAAAAGTGAATAGCACATCATTATGAAGATCTTATGCAGCCATATTAGATAGCACATAGAGTGGCATGCACTATTTAAAAAAATGCACACTACATTAATATATCATGAATAATTTATTAAAAATTGTATGCTATAAAAAAATATCATAATACCCAAAAAGGCACTATCAATGTCGTATAAATAGAACAATATATCACAATATTTGGACTCGTAAATTTACTGGTATCATATAAATTTCGCAATGATAACAATGAATTTATAATATTATATAAAGGCCATTGAATTGTGGGGATAAAGAGGCCAAGTAATAATAGTAGGAAATAGTTTCAATCAACTTGAAATGAATATGACTAAATGTCAATTCTTAACATTAATTAATTAGTTGAAAGCATGAACAACTTTGATCAAACCTTCAGAGTCATCATTCATTTAGCCCGTTAGTTCATGCATTTATAAATTCAGTAAATAGTAAAAAGCAGGCAAATCACAAAAAGGTAAATCATGACTAAAGTGTAAAGAGATAAGGGTAGCAAGTGCATAAATACCAGCCCTTTAGCAGTTAAAACCTATGCATTGTATATGTTAATCCTTGAACAATATGATTGTTTATTTATCACATATGATCATATGGAAACTTTTAAGAATATTTCCTAGTCATATCCACAAGCTAAAAAGTAAAGCAAAACTATGTAAAAAGAAAGTAATCATTTTAGTGAGAGGGAAAGCCTGGGGAGATTAATGAATATTTAGATGGCTAAGAACAAGAATAAAGATACATGGTCAATGGCTAAAGTATAAGGAAGGAACTAAATGGAAGAAGCATTTATTTTTTTTTTTTATTAAAGAGAAATAATGGAGAAAATCATACAATAAGCTCAACCTATCGTAATAGACAACCATAAGGAACATAATCAATTTATTAATAACAAGTTAAAGCCAGGCAAACACCATACAACACTTGAGCATTGTACGCTAAAACCCTACTTAAGATAAACAGTCCTACTTCATACAAACTTTTATGTTGCTTCAATAATATAGCAAAATAAATACATTTTCTAGAGAACTAAACTAAATAGAGAAAATACGCTTATTATGTTATGTCTAAACTCCAACAAAAATTATGGCTAATACAAGTGATTTAAATAAACCAATTAACTAAAAAATAAAAATACAAACTTGGGAAATAAAATGTTGCACTCCATGTGTTGTATGCTATAACACACAGTGTATGCTTATTTGATGCACCTTGCAATACAAATAGCATAGGTGATACAAAAAAGCTATGCTATGAGCTATAGTGTGTGCTATTTTGGCATTATTAAAAATTTTATGTTCTACTTCAGCATATTTTTAAACTATATCATATAAGAATAAACACAATTATTCATGTACTAACGATACCGCCTTATTGGAAAGCTCACCATATCACTCCCTAATAAATGGTAGATGTTGGCCAAGTCTTACAAGACCATAAACCACATGAATGAATTGATCCAAGCCAACCATCGGCTTGGTTACCACTTGTTAGGAAGAGTGAGTTAAAGAGGACTGAACCCAAATATCGCAAAGGTCAGACTCTTTTTCAACCCAAATGATTAATTATATAAGAGAGGAGATACAACTTGGAATTTCTCAAATATTCATTTCAACTATTCAATACAAAGTTTCGTGCCATAATGTCAGCGTGATACAAAATACACGCTTGAAACACTTAAAGTTGTTGAGGGTTATGACAATTCATTGGTGAGCACACAGCCAGTCTTAGTGGTAGCACTTCAAAGTGCAACATTTGTACTTCATACAAACAACAACAACAAAGCCTTAATCCCACTACATGGGGTCGGCTACATGAATCTTTTTTCTCTATTGCATCATATTCAGTGTCATATTTTCATTTAGTTCTAATAAATTAAGATCATTTTTTATACAAGAAGCCCAAGTCTTTCTAGGTCTACCTCTGCCTTTCTTAACATAAGTCAAATCTAAAACATCTACTCTCCTAATCGACTCATCAGATGGTTGATGTTTAATGTGACCAAATCATCTAAGACGACTCTCTATAATCTTGTTGCAAAAAATTAATTAAAGTGATAATTGGATCTCATGAGCCGTGTGGTGTTGAGACGTTCAATGGTTTAGGAACTTAAGTTCTTGTCTTGGAGAAGATATGTCACAACAGAAATTCAATTTTTCCAACTACCTTCTCTTTCTTGTTTAAGTTTCCCTGTGGACATGTACAGAGCTATTTAAGAGGTGCAAGCTAAGATTTGCAATGATTTTCTTCGTTGTGTGACAAATATAAAAATTAAAGGCAACGGATACTCTTGAAACAATAAACTCCGAGCCAAGTTAAATTAAGAGTTACATTGCAAAATAAAAAATAATTTCATAAACCTCAAAACTAAAATGGAATTAGTAAGGAGTAAAGAAAGGGCAGAGATAAAGATATGCACTTGCAGAGTTTGAGAAAGTTCTTGGATGTCAAGGGGCAGCGATCAGTATACAGATCCACGACGATGTCGCCCAAGCTTGTAACGATCATCACCGACATGTTAACCTCCGCTCTTGCTCGTTGTCGGCCTCAGTCCTTTCCTAGCCCAGTTTACGGCTGTCCCCCGAAGTCTCGCGCTGGAGGATGATTAAATGGAGTAAACCCAATAATATTTGCTTGAGAAAAAAAATGTTGTCCAACTATTAGCCTGTCTACGCCGTGATTTAAAATGGATTTCGGGTTGTTTAGGGACGAACCATCATTTTGCTCTTATATAATAACATAATGTTGTTTGCTAAGATCTGTTCATATAAATATATTTTTATATTTTAAAAATAAAATTCATTGCATAACATTATAGAATAAAGATAGACACTTCACTTAATAGTAAGTAGAATGATTATTAAAATTGAAAAAAAAGACTACTAAAATAATAATTAATAATATGATAATATTATTTTTAAAATACAGAAGTCATATGTCCTGAGTTAAGTCGTACTCCAGGGATACACTTTATGCCCGATCACTCTCGGCGGTGGAATCTTCCAGTCTATTTGCCCACCGAAAATAGTCATAGTTTTCAATGATTTTCCACGGACATCTGTAAAATTCTCTCGTAGCTATGTGGCTGATGTGAAATTAGCAGGGAACTTTGAAGTCCACAGCAACATTGCAAGCCTCGAGAAGTACCAGAAATCCTCGAGCTCATCTTTCCTGAATGCTTAAGAAAAATCCCATTGGACATAACATAATTAATTAATTATAGTTTTATGCAACTATGAAGTCTCAAGGAACTTAATATATAAACCAATGAATCTGTCGTTACATGAAGACGGCATGTCTTATAAAAAAGGGTTTTTGGTTGTATTTGACTCATGTAATACCAAACTCGTGTGTGTCACATGTACATATCACAAAAAAAAATCATCCAGAAGAACCTCAAAAACGTAGCACCGAAAAAAAGAAAGAAACTTGTCTGTCTTCATTAGAATTTCACATGTGACACCAATCAATAGTGACTAACAGGTCATCCAAAAGAACAACTTCTCATCATAGATCTCCAAAACCAACAAAAAAAAATACAAAAGGAAAAGAAGACACTTACAAACAGCGTAAAAAATCAAAACAATCAATATCAAATACACAAGAAATGGAAATAAACATGAACTGTATAAAATATTGATACAATAATTAGTGAATATTTTCAACAATCATTACAATTAATAATATGATAAAAACTTCAATCACCCTCCAATTATCGCATTCGCAATTCGTTTCCTCGACTCTGCTATCTAGCTTACACCTTCCCCGTCTTTAATACTAATCTGGAGAACATAATTTTCGGCCTGTGATAAAGACTTTCCAAGACGAAACTTATAAGTCTCAGTAAGTGCATATTCATGATCCTCATCCGCCCTACAGAAGTCGATGTCGTTGCGGAAATGATGTTACCAAATATAATTGTGGAGAGTCATATGAGTAATCACAATCTACATCTATTTGAGAAACAGATAAAATAATATATCGTGAAATATAACTCATTTCTTCTTCCAAACACCTAAAGTCCTCTCAATAACAATGCAAAAGGATGAATGTCTTTTGTTGAACATTTCTTTCCCGCCTTGTACGACATTACTGACTCACTCAAAATCAGGTATGTGTTATCTCGTATTTGGATAGGGCTTGAGATACCCTCGCTGCGGTGGATACCCAGCATCAGCCAAATAGTATTTACCTAATGAAAATTGAATGATTAGCGTTGAAAGAAAAAAAAATTAAAAAAGTAGCTCATTCTCAAGAGAACATTTGGTTGAATGTGGGAACTTGTATTTGTTATTTCTTATTACAGATTTGAAAATTCGACTGTCATGTGCACTACCCTCCCAATCTGTCATGACAAAAGTGAAGCACATGTTGAAGTCGTCTGCCACCATGACATTATGGGTCAGGGACCCACCATGACCGATGAATGAGTTATTCTCATTATTTGGAACACATGTATCAATGTGTGTTCCATCGCTTGATTCAATACAATTCCAGAAAGATAAGAAAGGGTTACATAATTGCGATATTTATATGAAAATTGAATGCATATACCGTGCATTATGTGAAATTTCTGTGAAGGTTCGTTTGAATATAGTACATATTTGTTTTATAACTTAAAAAGAGAAACTGACAAGTGAATTTAACCCTACTCAGAAGTACCTACAAATTGCTTTGGAAGAGTGTTGAGATCACTCCATAGCTCCTCGCATTTATTCATTATGCAATAATATGTACACGGTTATTGCCAACACCTCTCACGAAGTCGTTCTGGATGAGCCATGAATTTCATGATTTATGAGTAATTCCTCCAACATATCAGTGAATACTGCCTGTTTCATGCAGAATATATTGCTAAATCTCATTGGGTGGCCTACAAGCAACTCCTTAACTCATTTGTCATCAACATATGAGGATGGCATGCAAGGGGAGCGCCCCATGTATGAGTTATAATATTCATACATCAAGCATGCCGCAGTTGTAACTCCCTTTATGCACTTTTCTCTAGTTTAATCCATGTATTTCAGTATCGAAGTGGCAAACACATAAGCATCAATGAATTAGCTACACTCATAAAAGGTTACAAAATAAACCAACTTAAGCAAATAATATTAAAGAAGTAAATAGAAAACATAACAGGGAATGAAAAATTCTCAAGCAAAGTGGCATGTCCAAAGCAGCATAAATATGCAAAGCATCATGAAAATTCATAAACAAATAGAAATGTCCGACAAGAATCTAGTTAAAAAAAATTCTCTTAAATGTCTCTGCTCCCATGAAGATAATGTAGGTAAGTCACCCTACGGTCAGTGGGCATCGCTATGAATAACTCTCTCTAGATCGAATCTTCAAGCAACTTCATAAAGAACAAATACAGCGGCATGTCCTCATAAATTTCTGGAGTTGTATCCAAAATTCGCATAATCTACTGGACAAAAGTTGCTTGTGATGTGTCAGGGTCATTGGTGTATGAAACCACCAACAGCAAGATCTGGCTTCTAAGGAAACCAGCTTGCACTTTCTTTGTTTTCAACTTGGGGACGCTTTGACCAGCTCATCGACTCAACTTCATAGATCGGGCTGGGTTCTTCAATGAAATCACCCATTTGGTTAGCACCCAAATTTTTGGGGATGTCACCAAACCCTATCTCACTGGGGGCACATGCATTTTTGCTCGTTGCCACAAAACGATCAAATTTACAATCCAACTCCTCTAACTCAGGATCAATTACACTACATTTATTTTTTTTTCTTTGCAGCAAGCACCACCTACAAATTCATATAGTTTGTAGTTGGATTTAAAAACAAATTAAAATATGACAAAAAATAGGGGACATTTAAAAAATGCTCACTGTCAGTCTCTCTGACCGCCACTCATTGGAAGCATCAATTGTTCACTTTAATGGATCTCACCCCAAGCCTATTGATCCTTGCTTCAATTCCTTCCAGATTTTTCAATCTTTTTTTAGCTGATCCCACTTATTTTTTAACAGCATCCTATCATACTCTTTGTTTATACTTTCTTAGAATTTTCTAGTAATATTTTGTCAGCCATCCTTATTGAAATAGTTTTGGCCTTCTTAAGGAAAAGGTCTCAAAATATTAATATTATATCTTCATCCCACATTGCAGATAAACTGAACTCTTTTGTCTTAACCATTGTAGTTCTAGCATGAAAAAAAATAATTAACATAAATAGGAATGTCACAAAATCACAAATGAAAGAGAAATAGGAATGCCACAAACACATCCACCACACCACACAACCACTACCTCCACCCACCACCACACAGAGACTACACAAACACCATATAAACAACAACACCTTCACACAGACACCACAACATGTACACTAACACCTCAAAACACCATTATATCAAGAAACCAACACATCCACCACACTACCATCACCACCTCAACACATCCACATAAACACAACCACATATTAAGCACCACCTCCACACCAACACCTCAACACACCAACCATCAAGCCACCAACACATCCACCACACCACTACCACCACCTCTACAAATCAACACCTCCACACAAACACAACCAAACACTAACCACCACCTCCACAACCGCACATGAACACCTCCACACAGACACTACCACCTCCACATACCACCACACAGACACAACCAAGCACCAACACCTCCACACATACACCACCACCTCCACACCAACACCTCCACACATTAGTAGGTGGAGGTAAGTTTGATATAACCTAAATTTTTGCAGGATCTACTTTCATACCATTTTTTGAAATTTTATGCCCAAGTGCAATTCCTCCTACAACCATAAATTGACATTTTTCCAGTTCAATACGAGATTATTCTTTTCACATCGTTCAAGAACTTTCTCTAAATGATTTAGACATATTTCAAAATGAAGTTCCAAAAACAGAAAAATCATCCATAAAGACTTCAATCCCTTTTTCAATTAAATCACTGAAAATTGACATCATACATCTTTGAAATGTTACAGACGCATTACATAATCCAAAGGGCATTCGCTGAAAAAGCAAAAGTTCCATAATGACTAGTAAATGTTGTTTTCTCGTGATCCTCTGGAGCAATAAGTATTTGATGAAAAACAGTATATCCATGTAGAAAATAAAAATATATGTGCTCAACCAGCCTATCCAACATCTGGTCCAAAAAGGGTAAAGGAAAATGATCTTTCCTGGTATCAGTATTTAATTTTCTATAATCTTTGCAAATTCGTCATCCAGTGATTTGTCTTGTTAGTATTAATTCATTATTCTTGTTTGTCACTATAATCATTCCTCCTTTCTTTAGAACACAGTGAATTGAACTTACTCAAGCACTGTCTGAAATAGGATATATTATTTCACCATCTAACCATTTTAAAATTTCTTTTTTAAAAACTTCATTCATCGTAGGATTTAATCTCCTTTGATGATCAACTCTTGGTTCATGTTGATCTTTTAATAAAATTCTATGCATACAAATTGACGGACATATTCCTTTAATATCAGTTAATGTCCATCCAAAGGCTTTCTTATATCTTTTCAAAGTTTCCAACAACTGTTGTTCTTGCTTATCAGTTAATTTTAAGGATATTATAACAGGTAATGTAGATAAATCTCATAAGGATGCATACTTCAAATGAGTAGGAAGTGTTTTCAGCTCTATTTTATGAGGTTTCTCAATAGATGAAATCATATTCGTATAACTTTCTGTGGGATCTAGCATTTCAAATTTTTCCTGAACATAATCCAAATCTTCTTTGCTCACTTCCGTAGATTCATCTTAAATTTTATCATCATATTTATATTCCTCATATTTCTTTTCAAATTCCCTTTCAAATGTTTTTTTGAAATAGTCATGGCTTAGATCTTCATTAATATCCATTCTGAAGCATTCAATATCTTGCTCTTTTGCAGAGTTTCTCGTTGATTTTGCAATATTAAATGTAACATCTCGATCCCTAACTCTCATAGTTAGATCTCCTTTCTGCATATATATCAAAGCTCTTCTAGTGATTAGGAATGGCCTTCTGAAATTGATAAGAATTTATTTATTTTCCTCCATATCTAATATAATAAAGTCCACAGGAAAGATAAATTTATCAACTTTTACCAAAATATCTTCTAGAACTCCTTTAGGATAGGTAATCGAACCATCAGCTAACTGAAGAGTTACAGTTGTAAGTGAAATATCTCTTAAACCCAACCTTTTGAAAATTGATAAAGGCATAAGATTAATACTTTAATATTGGCCCCTAAATTACATAAAGCTTTTCCAAAAAAATTTTCACCAATAACACAAGGAATTCTAAAACTTCCAGGATCTTTAAGTTTTTCAAGAAGATTTTTCAGAATGGTAGTGCTACACTCTTCACTGAGTGCAACAGTCTCATTATCTACAAACTTCCTTTTCTTATTAAGTATATCCTTCATGAACTTCACATAGTTTGACATTTTTTCCAAAGCTTCAACAAATGAAATGTTTATCGTCAATTTCCTCAAAATTTCCAAAAATTAATTTTGAAAATTGGTTCTCTATTTTTCTGCTTCAATCTTTAAGGAAATGGAGGTGGTGGTATTTCTATAGTAATTTTCATTGGTTTAATATGACATTCAGACTCAAAATGAAAATCTTCACCAAATTTTTTATTTTTCACCTCATCTTTTTCAACTTCAACTTCTTCTTCTTTTTGAACTCTGTTTTCTAATTCTTTTCCACTTCTCAGTTGAATAGCCTTAATTTGCTCTTTGTTCTGATCTTTAAGATTTACTTCAACATTACTAAGTAACGTTCTTGCAGGTCTATTGCTAAGTGCAGTAGCAATACATCCCAATTGATTTTCTATGTTTCTAATTGCAGCTCGTTGACTTAGTAATTGA